GAGGTTTTGCCTGACTGATGTCGCTGTTGTTCCGAAGTTCTACATCGGACCATCGTCTCCTCCGCGCTAGATTCTGCTTCTCAGTGCGTAGAGAGAGAGGTATGAAGTTTGGGAAACGAAGCCCCAAGACCTCTATCAACTGGGACCAATTCGCTTCCCTTGCGAGTGAATGGGAATATTCCTTTATCGACAACATTGATGAAGAGTACAGCCGGCTCGTCGAATATCTTCACGATAGTGCTAGGAAAGCAGAGAGTCTACAAGTAGCCAAGAGACGACTCTCTTCAAAGACTCTCGAGCTGATACGCCAGCGTGGAATCGCGCGAGCTACAGGCAATCACCAACAAACGTCCGAACTTGCGAAGCTATGCAGAGAAGCGATAAAGGAAGGTCTGGAAGAGAGAAGAGCAGCAGTTATGGACGAAGCCGCCGAGGCCGGAAAGAGATTCGCAAAGCCCGACGGAGCTTCGCCAATTGCAAGACCGAAATGACTTCCCTTCGTCGTCCTGACGGAACAGTTACTGCATCTCGAAGGGTAATGGAGAGGGTCATCTACGACTTCTACTCGGATCTCTTCGACAGCCACGACTACCTACCTGCCCACCATCTCATGCAAGACGAATATATCGCTACTTCGGTTCTCGCTTCCGAAATGCGACATGCCATCACGTCGATGAGGAACTGTACGGCGCTCGGTCCTGATAGGATCAAACCAGAACATCTGAAGAGTCTTCACCAGTTATCATCAGCACTCTGACTAGGCTCTTCACGCGGTACTTGTCGGAATGCAAAGTGCCCACGTGTGGAAAACTAGCGAGACTGTTTGCTGTACAAAAAGGGAAATCCAGACGATATTGGCAATTATCACCCAATCTGCCTGTTATCTGTAATCTATAAGCTTTTCATTCGCGTCACCCTAAACAGGAATGGCAGAATATTAGATGAAGGACAGTCATGGGAGCAAACAGGGTTTCAGAGAGGGTTCAGCACAATCGATGATATCCACATCTTACACGACTCATTGAAGTATCGCGAGAGTACAAAATGCCGTTATGTCTTACGTTTATCGATTTAAAGAAAGTCTTTGACACTGTCGAGACAGAAGCGGTAATCGAAGCCCTGGGCAACCAGGGTGTTCCTACTCAATATATAAGGATGCTTCGTGAGCTCTACGACAACTTTACGTCCAGGAATTTCACCATTCTACAAGGAAGTCACTATCAACGTGAAGAGAGGTGTCCGGCAGGGCGATACCATTTT